CGATCTGCTGGCAATGCCCCTACTTATACAGCCCAAAATGCCGTTAGCCTTCTTGGCAACAAGAGCACACTGTTGACTCATATCCAGCTTCTCGTCCACTGTAACCCCTAGGTCCTTTTCTGCAGAACTGCTGCCAAGCCACTCGGTCCCTAGTCTGTAACAGTGAATGGGATTCTTCCGTCTTAAGTGCAGGACTCTGCACTTGTTCTTGTTGAACCTCATCAGATTTCTTTTGGCCCAATCCTCTAATTTGTCTAGGTCCCTCTGTATCCTATCCCTACCCTCCAGCATATCTATCCCTCCTCCTAGTTTTGTGTCATCTGCAAACTTGCTGAGGGTGCAGTCCACGCCATCCTCCAGATCATTAATGAAGATATTGAACAAAACCGGCCCCAGGACCGACCCTTGGGGCACTCCACTTGAAACTGGCTGCCAATTAGACATGGAGCTGTTCATCACTACCCGTTGAGCCCGACAATCTAGCCAGCTTTCTATCCACCTTATAGTCCATTCATCCAATCCATACTTCTTTAACTTGCTGGCAAGAATATTGTGGGAGACCGTATCAAAAGCTTTGCTAAAGTCAAGTAATAACACATCCACTGCTATCCCCTCGTCCACAGACCCAGTTATCTCCTCACAGAAGGCAATTAGGTTAGTCAGGCATGACTTGCCATTGGTGAATCCATGCTGACTGTTCCTGATCACTTTCCTCTCCTCTAAGTGCTTCAGAATTGATTCCTTGAGGACCTGCTCCATGATTTTTCCAAGGACTGAGGTGAGGCTGACTGGCCTGTAGTTCCCCGGATCCTCCTTCTTCCCTTTTTTAAAGATGGGCACTACATTAGCCTTTTTCCAGTCATCTGGGACCTCCCCCGATCGCCAGGAGTTTTCAAAGATAATGGCTAATGGCTCCACAATCACATCCGCCAACTCCTTTAGCACCCTCGGATGCAGCGCATCCGGCCCCATGGACTTGTGCTCATCCAGTTTTTCTAAACAGTCCCGAACGCCGAACCACTTCTTTCTCCACAGAGGGCTGGTCACCTTCTCCCCATGCTGTGTTGCCCAGTGCAGCAGTCTGGGAGCTGACCTTGTTCGTGAAGACAGGGGCAAAAAAATAATTGAGTACATTAGCTTTTTCCACATCCTCTGTCACTAGGTTGCCTCCCTCATTCAGTAAGGGGCCCACACTTTCCTTGACTTTCTTCTTGTTGCTAACATACCTGAAAAAACCCTTCTTGTTTCTCTTAACATCTCTTGCTAGCTGCAATTCCAAGTGTGATTTGGCCTTCCTGATTTCACTCCTGCATGCCTGAGCAATATTTTTATACTCCTCCCTGGTCATTTGTCCAATCTTCCACTTCTTGTAAGCTTCTTTTTTGCGTTTAAGATCAGCAAGGATTTCACTGTTTAGCCAAGCTGGTCGCCTGCCATATTTACTATTCCTTCTACACATCGGGATGGTTTTTTCCTGCAACCTCAATAAGTATTCTTTAAAATACAGCCAACTGTATCTGGCAAATTCCCTGATTTGCCAGATTGCCCGTGGGTCCTTGGGCAAAGCATTTGGTCTCTCTGGGTCTCAGTTCCCCATCTGTAAAATGGGAATAATTGCCCTGTCTCAGAGCACTGTTGGGAAGGGAAAGTTTCTTGCTGACCACCAGTTAGTTGGGGCAAGCTTATACCCTGAAGCATGACAGTTTGTCACTAATTCACTACATTAAAGATTATGAGGTGCCCAGATGCTAGAGTGATGGGGGCCATAAAAATACCTTAGATAGGGTGACAAGATGTCCCAATTTTCTGGGACAGTCCCGATTTTGGGGTCTTTTTCTTATATAGGATCCTATTACCCACCACCCCTTGTCCCGATTTTTCACATTTGCTGTCTGGTCACCCTAATCTTAGATAATATCTGTCATTTACATTGTGGTAGCACCTAAAGGCCACAACCAACTTGGGCACTATTGTGCTAGGTGCTGTACAAAGCTAGAATAAACGACGCTCCCTGCCCCAAAGAGCATCCAACCTCAAAGCCAAGATGGAGCAGGTAGAGGAGACAAACCAGGGGCCCAAGGTGAGGTGGGGGAGACAGGGTGATGTATAAATAGAATAGGATGGGCACAATTCTTAGCTTGTCAGTAGCAGTGGTCCCAGCTTTCCACCTGCCCAGCCATCACCAGGTTAACTCTTGGAGGGGTTCACCTCTAGAGCTGGCCAGTTTCTGGGTGGTGGCCGGGAGGAGTCTGGAGAAATCTAACCGTTCCCATGCTCTGGTGGGTGTTCTGTTAGTCTGTGTGCCAGAATCCAAATCTAAATGAAACCTGTGGATATTTCTCTTTAACAGGGGCACGTTCTTTAAGCCACCTCTGCACTCTCTGGATTTTGGGTTGACGTGGGGACCAGAATGACCCCTGGGGTAAGTTAGAGCAGCCCCAGGGACTTGGCTAACTTTTACAGCAGCTTCCCGAGGGCTTCAACCCAGCCTAAAATCCCTGTAGCACAGAGTGGTTTGAGCACATTCCTTCCTGTCATGCCCCTGCCCATGCCAAGACCCACAAGGGGGGTGCGGCATAGGGTCATTTACATCTAGAGCTGGGCAAATAACAGATGTTTCAATTCACTGGCATATCCGACTAATGGGAGGAGGGGAAAATCCATTTTCGGACCACAGAAAACACATTCTTTTGACGTTTTTGGCTACTTGGAAAGTTGGGGGGGGGAATCCTGTTTTGGGTTGAACAAAATATTACGTTCGGCCTGAAATGAAACATTTTGCTTCGATTTTGAGCATTTTTTCCCTCAGGTTTTTATATTTTTTAACAAAAAATTCTAAACAAAAAGTCCTTTCAAATAAAAAATCAAAAAGTTTTGCTTAGACGATGTTGAAATGAAACTTTTCAATGTTTTTGGAGTTTTCTTTCAGGTTTTTTTGCCTCCCCAACTGAAACAATTTGCCGAAATCCACAAATTTCCTGAATGTTTCCGTGTTGCTGAATCAGCATTTTTTTTTTTTTTTGCCATGGGTGGGGAAAAGTTTTAGTTGAAAAATGTTACCCAGTTCTTCCTACATCAATCTTCTGCTGGTTCTGTACCAGATGCCCTGCCACCATCCCCTTCTGGCTCTATTACCGCCTCTGTACGCTATCAGACTTGTGTAGAGGGATCTGAATTGGGACCTTTTCTGTTTGAGCTGCTGGAGCGGAGAGGGCTGCTTTTCCTGCCCACCTCGGGGTGAGTGCTTCCATAGAAACCCACCCCCTGCTGTATCGCAGCCGCTTAGGCCGCACAGGGATTCATGGGATTTGCTTCAATCAGATATGTTCTGAACATTGATGGCTTCGATAGAATTTCACATCAGAGGAGCACAAGGGTTGCTTGCAGGCTCAGAACCTCAACAGATAACAGCTGGAAGAAGGTCAGGTTGCAGTGAAACGCTGCGTGGTTGAAGTCACATTTGCTCCACAGTTTATCCCGTGATTACTTGAGTGGTGGTGGTGTGTTGTGAATGGAGGGTTCAGGTCTGTCATCAAAGAGTAGCATCAGCTAAGTGGTCCATAGCCACCTGATGTGCCTTCTGCGCAGTAGAGCGAGATTTGTAAGGGGAGGGGCTCTTGGACAATAGAGGAGACGTGTCCCTCAACCCCTTGTGAGTAGCTTGGCAGAATGAGATTTTTTTGCATTTTTTTATCATTGTTTATTTTAAGCATTTTTTATTTTTATTGATTTAAACATTTATTTGATTGATTTGCAAGAAATTATGGGAGGTCACATGATAATTATTTAATAACCGTAGACATCGGGATTCAAAAAGTGAACGCTTCATAACATTAAAACACAAACTGCCAACATCGCTTGTCAAAAGCTGCAAAGCAGAGAGAGCCTTAAATCGAACGCTCATCCATTCGCAAGCAGCATTTTTCTTGCTCTGCCTATCGGTGAATTTCAATGATCCTGGAGGGAAATATGTTTTCATTGGTTTGTGTGCACATGGTGAAATTGACGTTTACCAAGAAAACGCTAAGCCTGCTTTTGAGGCATCCTCCTTCCAGAGACTGAGTTGGCTGGCACCAGAGCGGAGCTGGAAGAGGACAAAGAGGGCTTCTGGGGAGGATCAGCAGATATTGGGGCCTGGAATAATGCTGCCACCTTCCCAGGCATCATGCCGTTGCACCATCCTGCATTCACTTTGGGCCCGCCATCTCTTGTCAATGGCTCCATGAATTCCTATGATGACACTTGACTAGGCTGCCCCCAGCCGTGTCAGGGAAAGGCTTGACTAGTGCTGAAATCATTCCTGTCGTTTAGGACAAAATATAGCCTTCTCCTGCAAGTGTCACCTGAAAGCTGGAATCTGTATCCAGCCCAGAACTGCTCAAAAATGCCCCTTCCTGTTACTGCATCAGAAACCCCTGAGCTCCATCATGTTGGCCAGAAGGGACCATCGGGATCATCCAGGCGGTGGGATGTTTCAAAAGCGTGCCAGTGACTTAGGAGCACTAGACCCATTGGCTTTCGGTGGGGCTTGTGTTCCTAACTCACTTAGACACGCTTGAAGATCCCAACCCTTGTCTGAACTCCTGCATGGCACAGGCCAGAGAATGTTACCTGGCGATTTCTCCGTCGAGCCCAGCGGTTTGTGATTGAATTGAATCAGAAAGCCAAGTCCCGCAGAGATTCCCTTCCATTATGGAATGAGACGGCAGGTGTTTTGCATGCAAGAGTGATTTCTCTCTCTCTCTGCACAGGCATGAATGCAGCTGTCCGGGCCGTGGTTCGAGTGGGCATCTTCACAGGAGCCAAGGTGTACTTTGTTCATGAGGTTGGTACGATCGTTTCCATCTCGAATGGCTTCCCCCACCTCTGCTCTGAACTGCATCTAGCTTTGCTTTCATTGGGATTTTAGTAACGTAATGTCTCCGCAGTACATGAATCATTATAAACCTAGTCCATTGTGTCTAGAAAAATCCCCATTGCAAAGGGCGACAGGAAGGGAAATCTTTCCTGATTTTCATGGGGTGCTTAACGTAATATCTTACAGTTAATCCTTGGCCTCCACCCTAACTCCCTGCCCCAAACCGGAACCTACATCCCTGAACCCCAGCCCGCTACCCCAAACCCAAACCAGAACTTGCTACCCTAAATCCCAATCCTCCAGTCCCAGGCACCACAATTCCATCAGCAGCCTGCACCCCTGCAGTAACCTCAAAGACCCATTCTGTGTCTACACACAGAGCCACTGAGAGACCAGGACCTCACCTGAGACCAAGACTCACTGACTTAATCAGAGTCAGGGCCGGAGTTGATATTTTGACATTTATTTTGTGATGTCTCCACGGGACGTACTGCTCTTAAAGGTTCAGTGTTAGTTTTACTGTCTTGCCTTGTATGAAAAGGAAGCCGGCTTTAGATAGGAGGAGGCATCTGCCACATGGAAAAAAGGAATAGTGAGAAACGGGGAATATATTAGTTATCTTGAACTGCAGCTTACTGTTCATTATTAATATTTCTATCCATCTATTACCACGTTCCCATATGTCTGTCCATCCATCCTTTCCTACATCTATCTATCTATCATATTCCCATCCATCCATCCATCAGCATAGTTAGATGCATCTATCTATCCATTCATTTCTACATATACTCATCGAGCCATCCATCACTGTAAAAACTCACCTAGCCATCATTTCTAATATGACCATCATCATGTTATCTGGGCAGCAGTGACAGATGACCGTTATACCAATGTTCCCTCTAATTTTTTACATCCAGGTGCAGAATGAATTTTGTTATGTGCACCAATATGGAGGTGATGTGTGGCGGGGCTGGGGCCGAGGGGTTCAGAGTGTGGGAGGGGCCTCAGGGCTGGGGCAGAGGATTGGGGTGTGGGGAGTGAGAGCTCTGGCTGGGGGTACGGGCTCTGGGGAGGAGCCGGGGATGAGGGGTTTGGGGTGCAGGCTCCCCCGGGGCTGCAGTGGGGAGAGAGGACTCCCCCCAGCCCTCTTTTGCTGCAGCAGCCCCAGGCCGGGGGGAGAGGCGCCTTTCCCCAGCCACGGCAGCTCTGGGGCTGGGACAGAGGTGCCTCTCCCTGGCCGTGGCAGGGCCGGGGCCGAGGGAGAGGCACCTCTCCAGTCCAGGCTCTGTGGCTGCGCGCCTGCGCGGCCCTTGATAGCCTGCTGCGCAGCCGCGCAGCTTAGAGGGAACTTAGCATTACACGTGCCTGCTTCCTAGTGATTGTAACTAATGCCGCATGTTGGGCTAAGGGGGAAGACCAGGAAAGGTGTGAGCAGGTGTGGAAGGGGGAGGGCAATAAGCATAGGAGAAAGCAGACTGGAGAAGAGGAAGCTGTAGGCTCAAGCATAGGAATGCTCCCAAGTCCATTGTACTGCCAAGGAAACCTGCACCGCACTTTCACAAGACGAGCCTAGGAGCTTAAATTCAGAACCTTGCTAGACACTGACGAAGTGGGGTTTTTACCCACGAAAGCTTATGCCCAAATAAATCTGTTAGTGTTTAAGGTGCTACAAGACTCCTTGTTGTTTTTGCTAGACACTAAAAATCAGGGACTGAATAGTCACTGGATTTTTGGCTTATTACAACAATTTATAACCCACTAACATCCCCCGTCCCCCAAACTGCTTTCCCCCACGCTTTCCTCCCTGTGACTGGAGAGGTGTTAACAGGCCACTTCACCTTGAATGGTCCCTTGAAATATGTGTTAAGTACTTGTGCTAAACAATCTGCTCCATCTTGTATTTTGCTGTGACACTTAGAGCTCATCTTCAGGTCTGGGAAACCTACTCAGTGTAAGCTCGAAAGCTTGTCTCTCTCACCAACAGAAGTTGGTCCAATAAAAGATGTCACCTCGCCCACCTTGTGTCTCATTGTATTGCCAGTCTGTTATTTGCTTACTATCCTATATTGTGCCTGGACCGCGGATGTGTTTCCTACCCAGAGTACTTTGTTCAGAACCGAACTCACATCTACTGTTGTCTTCAGTTCTCTGGGTCTACCCATAATGGGCCGTGCAATCCTCTGAGTCAGCAACAGGCCAGTGAGATACAGGCTTTGAAATCAGTAGCCGCTGGGATTGTTGAAACCCTGCAATGGATTGGGTGGGATATGGGCAAGAAAGTACCTCTGTGTGGGGCTGGGGAGGTGTCTGTGCAGGGGTAGGGAGTGCTCATCTGAATGTTAATGGTTCCATTCAGTTTGAGGCTCACTCTGCTTAACTCTCCTCCCCAGTTCCTGTGGGGGGCCCTCTGTCCATCCATCACCATAAGTGTCCATCTATCTCTCCTAGCGGTAACTGGCGTAGGAAAGCCTTCAGACTTGCCCCTAATCTCTTTCCTGTGCCTTCCGTTCTAGGGTTACCAAGGACTGGTGGACGGCGGTGACAACATCCAGGAGGCCACATGGGAACGCGTCTCCATGATGCTTCAGCTGGTAGGTCCTGGCATGAATCCCCTTGCTGGCTGTGAAAGGGAGCCAGTGCCCTGGGCCACTATTCTGGCTGGGCTTTACAAAGGAGCCAGGCACCCAACTCTCACTGAATTTCAGTGGGGTTTGGATACTTAAGGGCCAGATTTTCAAACGTGCTTAAGGGGCTTTGGAAAGTATGTCCCCTTTGAAAGTCCTGGAACTTGTGCGGCGAACTGCTTTCCTCTATGTGTACCCTGACGGCAGCAGGTAGAGTGCAGGCGCTACCGTGTAGTAGCTACCCGCGGCAGTGAAAGGCTCCGGCGGGGGGGAGGCTGCAGGCAGAGGCTCTGGCAGGCGGGAATACAAGAGCGCTTTTCCTCCTGCCTTATGGCGCTTGGCTCTGAACCAGCGTACAAGACACGTTACACATGAATCGTGGCTTCGCCGCACACCCCAAGCAAAGGGGGCAGCGTGTCGCTGGGCTGCCCTAGGATTAGCCCAGGATACCTGGCAGCACAGAATACTTCCCCTTCCACGCCAGTTTGGAGGGAGGGGGCGGGGCTGAATCCAGGCTCCGCCCACTCACATGCATGGGAGTAGAAGCCCTGCAAGCTACTTCCCACCTCCCCACAATGCTACCTGCCCTGTGAAGAGCCAGCACAGGAGAGGAAGGGAGCACCTGGAGGCATACAGCAAAGCTCACCCCACCATCTAGTCCTAAATCAGCTACCGGAAGCAAGCAGCTATGAGGGAACATAAAGCAGGCCCAGAATCCCAGAGAATACCATTGTCTCCATCCCAGGAAGAGCAGGTTAGCAACAGGGACAGGGAAACATGCCATTAAGTCACAGTCACCACAGGTTTTGCCTTCACTGGATCCGCTGGTCCTCCCAGGGTTGGAAGAACCATCGATTCTTATAATGACTTTCGAGGTCATTGCAATTTCACGGAAGGGATTCCTGCCAGGAGGAAAATGATTGTAGCATCTTGCCCTTTTCTTCGGCGGGGTCACAGGCAAGGGCTCGGGAACTTGCGTGTAACGATATCCCCGAGGCTGGGGTCACAATGAATGTCTGAGCCCTAAAATAACGTGAAATCAGCGCTGAAGGCTGCCAGCAGCCCTGCTTGTGATCGGGGACCTCGGGTCGGGTTTCACAAACAAGGACTGCAGAGGGAACAGGGCTGTGCCCAGTTCTAGGCAGCGTGCCACCCTCGAGACGGAATCAACTGGCATGAAATCAGACCTCCCTCTCCCCCCACGTGTGCACATGTTGTTGTTTCAACTCTGATTCTAACTCTCAGACCCGTATCGAAGGGCAAAACTGACCCCTCTGCAGAAATCAGCGCAAGCCCTATGCATCCTTTTAAGGCTTATGTGGAACTTACACAGGTTCTAGGCCCTTGTGCTGGCCTCCTGCACACAGGTGAACTTCGCCCTCTAAGAGGACTCGAGCGGGAATGCAGCGGGACACTGCTGCCATGGATAAATAGCTGCTTGTGTTCTCGAGCTGGGGGGGTCTTAATCTTTTTCTCTCTGAGCCTCCCCCCAACATGCTATGAGAAATCCATGGCCCACCTGACCCACAACAACTGGTTTTCTGCATATAAAAGCCAGGGCTGGCATTAGAGGGTAACAAGCAGGGCAACTGCCTGGGGCCCCATGCCACCGGGCCCCCACGAAGCTACATTGCTCAGGCTTCGGCTTCAGCCCCAGGTGGCAGGGCTCAGGCCCCGGGCAATGTTGCCTCTCATTTTTCCCCTCCATGTGCAGAATGAATTTTGCTATGTGCACCAATATGGAGGTGATGTGTGGCGGGGTGGGATTGAGGGGTTTGGAGTGTGGGAAGGGGCTCAGGGCTGGGGCAGAGGGTTGGAGTGCAGGGGGCGGGGAGTGAGGGCTCCATCTGGAGGTGCAGGCTCTGGGGTGGGGCTGGGGATGAGGGGGTTGGGGTGCAGGCTGCCCCAGGGCTGAAGCAGAGAGAGAGGACTCCCCCCAGCCCTCTCTCCCCACCACAGCAGCTCTGGGGCTGGGGCTGCGGGAGAAGCGCCTCTCCCCACCACAGCAGCTCTGTGGCTGGGACCATGGGAGAGGTGTCTCTCCCCACCACAGCAGCTCTGGGGCTGGGACCATGGGAGAGGTGTCTCTCCCCACCACAGCAGCTCTGGGGCTGGGGCAGCGGGAGAGGTGTCTCTCCCCACCACAGCAGCTCTGGGGCTGGGGCTGCGGGAGAGGTGTCTCTCCCCACAATAGCAGCTCTGGGGCTGGGGCCGCGGGAGAGGTGTCTCTCCCCACCACAGCAGCTCCGGGACTGGGGGAGTCCTCTCTCCCCGCTGCAGCCCCAGAGCTGGGAGAAGAGGCGTCTCTCTTCGTCGTGCCGCAGCCCCGGGCTAGGGGAGTGAGGTGCACAGCCTATGGTGGCCTCCTGTGCAGCCGTGCAGGCGTGCACCTTAGAGGGAACTTAGGCCACATGTGGTGGGGCTTCGGCTTTCTGCCCTGGGTGCAGCAAGTCTAATGCTGGCCCTGGTTGCTGGGCCCCCTGAAACCTGCTCGCGGCCCCCCAGGGAGCCCCAGACCCCTGGTTGAGAACCACTGTTCTCGAGGAGGCTAAAACCTAGTTTCTTCTTCTCCTGAGCCGGCTGGTCCAGAACAGGCTCCAGCCAGGAGCTCTCTTGTCGGTTGTCAGAGCCACTGGCAAAGCTGTCAGTCAGAGGCTGGATGAATGACGATTCATACTGTGCATGTTACCGGGCCATCCCGTGGCGGCTAGGGAGCAGCAAGAAATTACAGCTGCAGGCCCAGCCCGTAGGATAGCAAGCTAGCCCTGCCACATAGCACAGTGCAGTACGGTCTCTGGGCAACGGCGACCCAGACCACGTCTCGGGTCCGTCGGCAGGGAATCACTGAAAGAGCAAGGGATCTCTTGCATAAATTGAACATCTACTGTAGAGCTACCCGGACCGGACAGCTCTTGGGAACGGCTAACCGGTGATGGAGCCTTTCCCCTCCAGGTCACCAGTTCAAATCCAGCCCTGGCTGGTAGTGGCTGAAAACAGATGGCTCATGTTTGGGGGTTTCAGTCCCAGCTAGAGGGGAAGGGTGATTCCAGTGGTTAGGGCATGAGCCCAGCCCTCAGGGGATGTGGGTCCAAGCCCCTGCTCTTGTGTGCAAATCATTTCCCTTCTCGGCACCTCCGTTTCCCATCCGTGAAATGGGGATCACAGCACTTCCCTCCGTCCCGGGGGGGTGGGAGGGCAAAGGTGGTACAGATGGTGAGGTGCGCAGATACTGCTGTGAGATAACCAATCCTGCATCTTGGCAGGGGCTTAGACTAGCTGCCCCTTGCAGCCCCTTCTAATCCTACGGTTCTATGGTAGCACCTTAGCTAGATAACACGCTATCCCCTCGCGAAAGCTGCCAGTCCCTCCTTGTGTCTCAGCCGAGAGCAGGATAGTTGAATGGAGTGTGGCTATTTCCCCGTCGACAGGAGCTGAGGACTGGGCCATAGTGGGGGAGTGGGGTTGGTGGGGGAAGGATGTAGTTTGCGCTACTCATGGTAGTGGAATCATAGCAGCTCTATCCATAGGTGCAGACTTTCCAAAGGGCTGGGGGGTGCTCGACCCCTGGCTCGGCCCCATCCTCACTTCACCCCTTCCCCCAAGGCCCCACCCCCGCCTCTTCCCGTCCCTGCTCCACCCCCTCCCCCAAGCGCACCACTTCACTTCCTTGCTCCTCCCCTGTCCCTCGCAGCCTCCTGCACACCGCGGAACAGCTGTTCACAGAGGGCGGGAAGTGCAGGGAGGCGCTCATCCACGGGGATCGCTGGTGGGTGGGAAGCGCTGGGGGAGGGAGGGGCGGGCTGATATGGGGGCTGCCCACCATTTTTTCCCCGTAGGTGCTCCAGCCTCGGAGCACCCACGGAGTTGTCGCCTATGCCTCTATCTACTAGGGTGCCCGCCTGGCAGGAAAGTGCCAGCGTAAAGAGCAAGGCCTGGCGTAACCAAGATAGATTCAGCGTTTAAGACTATAAGGGACCATTCGATCATCGGGTTTGGACTCCTGGATAGCCCAGGCCATTACATTTCACCCTTGTGTTGAGGCCAATATCGTACGTTTGACAACAGCATCGTTGAGAAAGGCATCCAGTCTGGATCTGAAGGTAGCAAGGGATGGAGAGTCCACCACTTCCCTGGGGAGGTTTGCTCCAGCATCCTCACTGTTGGAAATGTGCCTTACCTTGAATTTGAATTGGTCTGGCTTGACCTTCCAGCCCTTGGTTCTTGTCCTGCCTTTCTTGGCTAGTTAGGGAGCCCGCTCCCGGGGAAGGTACTTTTACACTGTAATCAAGCCGCCTCTCCATCTTCTTGCTGATAAACTAAACACATCGAGCTCTTTAAGTTTTTTTCTCCACCCCTGTGACTCTTCTCTGCGTCCTCTCCAATTTGTCAACATCCTTTTTAAAATGTGGACACCAGAACTGTTCCCATGTCAATCTCACCGAGAATCCACTCTGACATGCAACCTGCTGGCCTCCACGCCTCCGTCAGCTCCTGCGACAGACCGCACAACAGTGTTGGGGTTCCCTATTGACCCCCGCCTTCTGCCTCCATCCCAGGGCGGCACTGTAATTGGAAGCGCCAGATGCCAGGACTTCCGCATGCGTGAGGGTCGTCTGAAAGCCGCCCGCAACCTGGTGAAGAGAGGCATCACCAACCTGTGTGTCATCGGGGGAGACGGCAGTCTGACCGGAGCAGACACCTTCCGGGCCGAGTGGAGCAGTTTGCTAGTGGAACTGGTTAAAACAGGTACCGTGGTGACAAAGCAATAGGTGGAGTGTCCCCAAAGGACACTGGCCTATTTATGCACGCCCCAAGGGCATGCCATCTCCCCAGCTCCCGCCCCCAAGACACCCACTCACCAGTGCACTCCCTTCCCGGAGACACCCCCTAGTGTGTGCGTCTCGTCCCAGGACATCCGTCTGCCCACGTGTGTTACTGCCCACTCGCTCCCGGGTTCCCCACCTACGCACATCCCCAAGCAGACCACAGTGGAGCAAAGATGGTGAGGGCGTGGAAATGCCAGAGAGCAGAGCTTGCTGGGAAGTGGGAAAAAAAATTCACAAACACTTAGTGAATTTCCCCTCCCCTGTTTTTCCATCCAGATGTTGTTCCTCATTCGGCTCTAGCAGGAAGTGACGGGTTTGAAGTGTCGCTGAGGTGATACTGAGAATTCTTTCTCAGGGGCTTGGCTCACACGCTCAGACCCTAAATGATGGCCATTTGTGGGGTCAGGAAGGAATTTTCCACGTGGTCAGACTGGCAGGGATCTGGGAGGAGGGGGTTCGCCTTCCTTTTCAGCATGGGCACAGGTCACTTGCCAGGATCATTTGTGTGTATCTCACTGAATCAATCCCCTGCCACTGCAGAGGCCTGGGGCATGGGGGGACAGTATGTCCCTCCTGGTCTCTGGCTGTGGCCCACAACAGTTCAGTCTCCTGAGGGCTGTACTGCTTTGGTCTGGTTGCTGGGTTTGGTACGGGGATGACGGGGTGGCCTTTTGTGGCCTGTGATGTACAAGAGGTCAGACTAGATGAGCTGGTGGTTCCTTCTGGCCTTAAACTCTGTGACTTTGGGCCTTACCCAAAGCCCCTTGAATTCACTGGGCTCTGGCTCAGGGCCTCGATGTGCATCGCCCAATGATAAGCTCACGCAGACCGTCAGTGTTCCAAGGGGCCCGTGGAATCTCTCCGCAGGTGGCGTCACAGCAGAGGAAGCCAAGAACTCGAGTCACCTGAACATTGTAGGAATGGTCGGCTCCATCGATAACGACTTTTGCGGCACGGACATGACGATAGGCACAGACTCCGCCCTTCACAGGATAATGGAGATAGTCGATGCTATAACGACGACTGCCCAGAGGTGAGGCCTGGGGGTGGGTCTGCAACTCACCTCTTCCTTTTCAGCATTGGCGGTGGGATGCAGGGGTGTTGGGATGCCAGAACCTAAGGGTACGTCCACACTGCAATCACGGGTGGACCAGCCTGCCTAGCACCCTGGGTCATTATAGGGCAGCTTTCTGCACTTGGTTTTGTGTTCTGTGTCTGTACAGCACCTTGCACAATGGGGCCCTGATCCATGACTAGGGCTCCTGGGCACTGACGCAACACAGATGATTATTAATAATGCTAATAACGAGGTGCTGCACAAATGCATGGTAGGAACCAGTCCCAGCCCTCAACTGCTGACCATCTGCAAAGTCAAGATGAACACAGGAGGATAAATGACTTGCCAAAGGTCACACAGGAGCGCCAGGTATAGCATCAAGGCCTTCTGAATCCCAGTCTTCTGCCCTGATCCACTGGACTCAGCTGCGTCTCCACAATATTAAGGCCTTGTTGCTACTTAGGTTGATATATCTGTGGTATTGCTGCACTGCGGTAACCGCTGGGTGCACTCTCTCTCCTGTCTCTTGCAGTCACCAGAGGACGTTTGTGCTGGAGGTGATGGGCCGTCACTGCGGGTGGGTAAATCTTTCCTCTCTGTGCGTTTAACGGTTCTGCATTTTCGCCACCTCCTGACCCTTTGGCCCAGTGCACGGGGAGGCGGGGTCCTTGCTTCACAGGAAATGGAGAGGCTAGAAAGAGGGGCCAATCGCAGGAAAAGACGGGCCGGAGGGGCAAGCCGTCCTGCCTGTCTTTCCAACCCACAAAACCAGTGAAAACCCAGGGGTGGAAAAAAGTCACTCTTAATTGTAATCAAGTTGGGTGAAACTGATCCTGATGCACATGGGCCAGGATGAGGCCTATGCGCCCTTAGGGCTTAAATGACATGTAAGTGGTGTGTAGGCCTAGTACTGCCTCTCTGCATTCTCTCTCTCACCCACTATTATAATAGTCTCCTCTTTCCAGCTAGGACTCAGACGGGAGTCTCTGATGACGCGGGCTGCAGGGGCATTTCTTGCCCGAGGCGAGTCACTGTGCCGCCACTAAAAAGCAGCATTAGTCTTATAGTTCGGACGGTAGTGAAGGTTGTGACTCGCTCGCTGTTTAATAAACGTAACAGCGGGGCAAGCTCCTCCGGTTTGGAGAGAAGAAAGGCTGAGTCAGGGAAGGGAAAACGGCGAGTCCCACGTCGTGAGTCTCGGGGGCTTGATCCCGCTCCCATTGAAGACAGTGGGCCAGTTCTCAGCTGGTGTAAAATGGTGTCGCTCCATTGAAATCAAGGCTGAAATTCTGGGGCTCAGCGGAATGTAGGGTGACCAGATGTCCCGATTTTATAGGGATAGTCCTGATATTTGGGGCTTTTTTTAATATGGGCTCTTATTACCCCCTAACCCCCCAGTCCCGATTTTTCACACTTGCTGTCTGGTCAGCCTAGCGGAGTGTCCCTTTTGACCTTGAGATCTGTGGCTGTATAAGAGTTTTGTTAAGTTGGCTGCAGGTGGAATTCTCCCCTAGCACAAGGCTGGTGTCTCTCTGCAATCCCACATACGCCCTTCAGCTGGGCAGGGCCCCTTGTGCACCAGGGTAGATGTCCCCCAGGGGAAGCTGAGGGAACTCAGTCTGCAGCGTGGTCCCCACCCCCCCGATTGTCCCCCAAAACTTCAGGAGGTTTGAAATTTCATCAGAGTTAGTTCAGAAGAGAAACAGAGTGCCAGGGAACTCGGGGTGCCCCAGGGCATCGAACAGAACTGCATGGAATAGTTTATTTTTGCATTTGAAATCGGCAAGCAGTTATTTCCAGAACAGCTCCCTCCAGCCCTTGCCATCAACGGCAGCTTCTCCGCTTGCTAAGCACGAGGCGTGAACTTTAAAACTCACAGCACACCCCTGGCTCGCTAACCTTCCTCCTTCTCTCTCACCTTAGCTACCTAGCTCTCATAACGGCCCTGGCTTGTGGTGCCGACTGGGTTTTCATTCCCGAATCTCCGCCTGAGGATGACTGGGAGGAACACTTGTGCAGGAGGCTAATCGAGGTAACCCCCTCTTGTAGGCAACTCCTGCTTTGCACAGACTTGATCCCGGATTGGGATGCTAGGACGCTCGAGAGTCAAGCTCTGAGAAGGACATTGGTCTAGTGGTTAGGGGACTGGTTGGATCCTGGAGTTCAAGTCCCTGCTCTGCCACTGCTTCCAGTTTGACCTTTGGCAAGTCACTTGGGCCCAGCTCTTCAGAGGTATTTAGGTGCCTAACTCCCACTGACATCACTGGGAATTAGATGCCGAAACACCTGAGCCCTTGTCTCTCTGTGCCTGAAATTCCCCACGTGGATAATAGCACGGCTCCACCTCACAGGAGGATTGTGAGCATAAATCTACTTAAAGATTGTGAAGCGCTCAGATACCGTGGAAGTGGGGGGCCATGTGCGAACTGAAGCTAGATTTAGCTTGATGCTTTCCCTTCTCCATTTGGTCCGGTCTCCTGCTGGAAGGAGTTCCCGGGGACAGGAAGGCTAATTGGTCAGGAATTTTGTGATAAAACATTTCTCGCATCCTTAGCCCAAATAAATCTATTAGTCTCTAAGGTGCCACAAGTACTCCTCGTTCTTTTTGCTGATACAGACTAACATGGCTACCACTCTGAAACCTTTCTGGAAAGAGACACCCCAGAGTAGCCCACTGATCTGATCTGCCAGAATCCGGCAGAGCAGAGTTTTGAACTATCCCAGGGGAGTGCCCTAACCACTAGGCGATTGGCCACAGTGGTGAGTGCGCTGTCATATGCTGATCATGGGATCAGTCTGTGTTCACAAAAAAACAGGCAGGGCCTCGGCGTCCTTCTGACGTGGAACAAGAATGTCGACAGCTCAAAACTGTTCACAGAATGGACTTCTGGTTTCCCAGCCAGCCCTCGCTAGCACCCAGCGCTCTGCTTAGATCCTGCTTCAGCCCACGGCTGTAAGTGGGACTAGAGCAGTGCATTGGCCCTATTCTGTCCCCTGCGTGGGGGTGAATCCAACCCGCAGTGTGCAATTTTACACGTTACATCAATGGGTTGCTTTCTCCTTTCCTTTCCTTCAGACAAGAGGCCGGGGATCGAGACTAAACATCATTATTGTGGCTGAAGGAGCCATCACCAAGCAGGGCCAACCCATCACCTCGGAGAACATCAAAAACGTGAGTGGGGCCTGGGGTCAGCTCTGTGCTCTCTCCTGTGCTCTCGTGATCTCCCAGAATGCACCTGTCTGCTTTCAAATTACCACGAACGCTCGGCTCATCGGCTGTTGTAAAGCAGCACTGCTCGACGGCGTGTTGGCGATTTACCCCAGCTATAGATATGGCCCCAAAAGTGCATCCCTCTTTGGTGCTGCCCGAGATGCCCGAATGGAATGAGGAGCCTGCGGCCTTCCACATGGCTGCCTTAACGAGATTTGGAGGGCCTGGAGGCCTTAAAGATTTGCTGGTACTCTTTGCTGTCCAGCATTTGTGCTGGATCACAGCTAGCCAGACATTATGGCTGGGCAAGACGGGGCTCCACTAGCAGAAAGCTTTAAAACCACCCTCAGTTGCAGAGCCTCAGCTGGTGTCAATCGCCCGGCACGGCTCCATTGGAAGGCTGAGGATCTGGCCCCCGGATCGTAGTTTCCAGTGGTCTCTGCTGTTGCATGTTCACTCATGTCACAGTCTGGACTCTTGAGATAAAGATGAATCTCTTCCGTCGTTTTCTCGCTTCTCTTTAGTTGGTTGTTAAACGCCTTGGCTATGACACGAGAGTCACCATCCTCGGGCACGTGCAGCGTGGTGGGACCCCCTCTGCCTTTGACCGCATCCTGGTATGAACATTTGCTATCTCCTCCATGCTTCTTCTAGTTGAGATCCTTTTACAAACCCTAATGACCCCCATTGCGGCCTTCCCTCAAGACAGAGCCAGGGGACTCCAGAGCAGAGCATAGAGTCATGGGAACACAGGGCTGGAAGGGACCTTGAGAGGTCATCCAGTGCATCCCCCTGCACTGAGGCAGGATTAAGCACACCTAGATCATCCCTGACTGGGATTTGTCTTAAAAACAACCTCCCTAGGGAACCTGTTCCAGTGAGTCACTCTTTAACCAGTGTTTCACACTGGTCCTGGCCAATTTGGGGCCCACAGAAAAATCTCCCTGGCCCTTGGGCTGGAGGAGCTCTTGCTCCAGCAGGGGCATGGAGCTTTTCCAGTCTCGGGGGAGCAGAAAGGAGGGAGTGCGGGGGCAGGGCCTCAGGGAAAAGAGGCACAGTGGGGGGGGTGACTGGTGAGGGCTGCAAGTAGACAGGGGGAGGGGCTCCAGGCTCCGCTGCGGCCCCCAGATGGGGGGAGAAGAGGCTCCGGGCTTGGAGCTCTGGCCAGGGCTGAGAGCTCCGCTGCAGTCCCGGCCAGGGCCATGGGGGGCGGGTTAAGAGCAGCATGCAGGGGCAGGGCCTTGGGCGGAAGAGGCGGGGCAGGGGTGCTAGCCTTCCCAAGGGGAAGCTTCACGCGCTGCCCCTGCACACAACGCACAGTCAACCTGTGGAACCCATTGCCAAGGGATGTTGTGAAGACCAGTAGTATAATTAGGTTAAAAAAAGAACTAGATACGTTCCTGGAGGATCGGTCCTTCAATGGCTATTAGCCAAGATGGTCAGGGACACGATTCCCATGCTCTGTGTGTCCCTAAACCTCTGACTGACAGAAGCTGAGACTGGGTGATGGGATGGATAACTCAATAATTGCCCTGTTCTATTCGTTCCCTCTGAAGCACCTGGCACTGGGGCCACTATCGGAAGACAGGACACTGGGCTAGATGGACCATTGGTCTGACCCAATATGGCCGTTCTTATGTTATGTGCTAAGGCTGTTCTCATGACCCCCTTCAGCCTTCTCTTCTCTCGATTAAACATGCCCAATTCTTTCAGCCTTTCTTCAGAGGTCAGGTTTTCTAAACCACTTATCTTTGTTGTTGCTCTCCTCTGGACTCTCTCTCATGGCAGTCGCATGGCCCTGGTGCATTATAGGAAATATAGGCCAGTTGGCGAGCCCAGCCCAGAGAGGGGAATGGAGGAATAAGACACCCAAACTACAGCGCCCATGAAGCACCACAATTGCATTTTAGAACTGAAATATTTCCGGTTTTGGATATTCAATTTTTTCAATGAAAAATCAACATTTTCCTGGAAAGCAGACACTTTTTACGAAAAAACTAGTTTAGCTGAAAAAAGGATTTTACATTAAAAAAACAGCTTCAATGGCAATTTTTTTGACCAGTCCTAAAAAAGGTCACTACCCTCCATTCATCAGTAGGGATTGAACCTGTGACCTACAGCTCCAAATGAAAGAACAAAAGGAGTAGCCCCATTACCTGATAGCAGTAGTAGGCTGTTATCTTCTATGTAGACTAGCCACCAATGGTAGGGTTGGGGGAAGAGATCTACTTATCCGTATGTTACAGTGTGGTTTTTTTAAGTTCTTCCTAAAGGACTGATTCAGGGGAATCTGTATTGAGGGTATAAGTGGGAGCATGGGATATGGATGTCCAAGGAAATATAGAGCCATCAAGGACTAAAGCCCCTTCTGTGTGTCTCAGGGAAGCCGAATGGGGGTGGAAGCAGTCATGGCCTTGTTGGAAGGGACCCCGGATACCCCAGCATGTGTCGTCAGCCTGTCCGGGAACCAAGCTGTCCGCTTGCCTCTCATGGAGTGTGTCCAAGTGGTGAGTATTTCCCTCCCTCCACTCCAACCACGTCCAATGTGCTAGGTGCTGTACAAACATATGGTAAATGACAGCTCCTGCCCTAAAGAGCTTACAGTTTAAAAGACTAGTGGATGAGACGAACAAGAGGGTGGATGGGAATAATACAAATAGATGCTTTAAAACAGATGGACAGTTCTTAGCCAATCAGTAGCAGAGATGACAACTTGCCATCCACCTAGACATCACTAGAGGCCGTGTTCTCTAGGTATCGTAGTGTTCCTGATGTTGACTGGTTGAACTGCTGGAGAGCAGGTATGAATTAAGGCAATCTAGTGTCTGAGGCTCATGTCCTGTCCCCCCAGCCCTGGAGCATGGCCCCACCTCTCCTAAGGGAGGTATCAGGTTTCAGATTTAAGATGAATGGGAAAGTTCACACCTCTTGGAGTTCTTGTTTCAGGCTCTTTGCAGACTCCAGCAGGCCTCGGTCAGTCTCAGGTCACATTTCCAAGCTTTTCTGTGTATCTGCGAGAGCCAGGAATAGTATTTTTAAATGAAAACAGATTCTGATCTTAACATACAGCCCAGGCCCATAGTGCCTTGCTCCAGACCTGTTTGTGCTTAATCTTAATTTCCATCTGGGATTGCAGTCGAGTTAAAATGAGATTTTTAGAGACCGATCTTTAGATCTTTTCTTTTTCCTGCTGCTTCCTCCTCACAGACCAAAGATGTCACAACAGCAATGAATGAGGGACGATTTGACGATGCTGTTAAATTGAGAGGAAGGTGAGTGAATGTGCTATTTAAAATAAGATATTTAAAGGGTCAGGGACCTATTGTGGCTCTAAATATACTATAATAATAATAATAATTAATAAATAATCCCTAGCTCTTATCTAGCACTTTTCATTAGCAGATCTCACAGTGCTTTACAAAGGAGGTCAGTATTATGACCCCCCATTTTACAGATGGGGAAACTGAGGCACAGAGGGGTGAAGTGACTTGCTCTAGGTTACACAGCAGGGCAGTGGCAGAGCCAGGACTCAAGTCTCCTGAGTCCCAGTCCAGTGCTCTAGCTACTAAGCCACACTGCACTGAAAAGAAACCAGCGTTCCTCTAATGATGCTTAATTGGGAGACTTACAAGTAGGCGAAGCTCACAGCCTCCTCCACAGCATGAAGATGCTTATCTACTACAAAAAAGAAAGGTGCCCATTTTTACAGGGAGGGGAATTAACCATTGGAACAACTTTCCCAGGGATGTGGTAGATTCCCCATTGCCTGGAGTCTTTAAATCAATGCTGGAATATTGAAATGAAAAATATTCTAGCTCAACCACTAGATATGGGCTGGATGCAGGACTCACTGGGAGAGGTTCTCCGGTCTGTGTGATGCAAGAGGTCAGACTAGAAGATCAGAATGGCCTCTTCTGGCCTTGAGATCTGACTCCCCCCTCCTTTCTTGCAGGAGCTTCCAGAATAACTGGAACGTTTACAAGTTGCTGGCTCACGTGCGCCCACCCTCTACAAAGGTACGAAACAAACAACAGGTGGCTCCTCGTCCATTTTCTTTACGGTCTGCGCAGCTGCGTATGCATCAGGGCTGGGATTTTCAAAGGAGGCTAAGGCAGATAGGCATCCAACCCTCCCTGTTAGTTTTCAATGGGAGTTAGGCGCCTCATGCCCCAGGCCCCTTTGAAAATGAAAGTGTAGACCATTGGTGGGCAACCGTGGCTCGCAGGCTGCATGCGTCCCATCAGGGTAATCTGACTGCGGGCCACGAGACATTTTGCTGATGATGACTATCTGCAGGCACGGCCCCCCGTAGCGCCCAGTGGCTGCGGTTCGCCGTTCCTGGCCAATGGGAGCTGCGGGGGGCCGTGGTCAACATCAGCAAAATGTCTCGCGGCCCACAGTCAGATTACCCTGATGGGCCGCAGGTTGCCCACCACTGGTCTAGATCCTCAGCGTGCTGTGGGGCCATGTGGCTGTGCCAATCCAAGGCTACGGGTCTGTACTATGAGCCAGCCCAAAGCTGTACATCTGTGCCAGTGCCCCGGGGCCTTGCTGTACTGGTGCTGTGGGACCTTTCCCCACTTATTTCAGCAGTTTGGGGAGCATTCCCGTTTTCTCTGTTTCTTTCTCAATGCCATCTCCTGCTTCCCCCACTGCAGAGCGGGTATAACCTGGCCGTGATGAACGTCGGCGCTCCAGCCTCCGGGATGAACGCAGCCGTGAGGGCGGCCGTCAGGATTGGGCTGATCCATGGGCACAAGATGCTGGCTGTGCACGATGGGTTTGATGGTCTCGCCCATGGACAGGTACCATCTAGGACAAGGCAGCTCTCCAGCATCCTTCCTCCAGACAGAGTCTCCATGCGCTGTGAAAAACCCTGACGAGCAGCAGCAGGAGAGGAACATTCAGAGCCATGGAGAGGAGGGAACTCTGAGGCGGAACAGGGGGCTGATGAGATAGGGAGGCCGTTCCAGAGAGCGGCAGCTGCAGAAGAGAAGGTTCTTCCACAACACGTGGCAAGAGTGTCTGGAGAAGGGTAGTGCTAGAGGTGTGGAGATCTAGAGAGAGAGGCTGGAGCAAGCCCAGGGAGGCTATGGATCCTAAACTGAACGGGAGAGCCTATGACGAGGCTCCAGCCATAGTCAGGCGATGTTCAACATGGCGGGGTTATGGAGTGAACAATCAAAGTGAAAGCGAAAAGGCTCCTGGTTTAGTATTGGGCTTCCAGGCAGGGTGGACAGAGAAACCGGATCAAAGGCTGCTGTGGGCAGTATCTGTATCTCAGCCCAGTGGTGCCTTTCCATCTCCAGAAGACACAAGCGTGTCCCAAAGAATGTCCACGCTGATGGGGATTCTGGTTAGATGCAGGACTGAGAACTATACATAACGATCTTGAACGTGTCTTCCTGAAGGTGTTTGAAAGGTGTTTAACTCTGTACATATGTGGGGGACATCGGGTGCAGTCCCATAGGACAGAGGTCTCCAAAGTGGGGTGCGTGCTTCGTAGGGGGTGTGCAAGAGGATCCTTGGGAGTGCGCGGCAGGAGGAGCGCTTTTTTTTTGTTTTGCTTTGGCAAAAATGGTAGAGCTGGCGCAGCAGGGGGTGCGTGCCCAAAATTTTTGCACGATCAAAAAAGTTTGGAGACCACTGCCATAGGACACGATTCAAATTGCTTAGGAAAGTTCTGTCCGGTAAGAGCTGCTCTGGCCAGACCAGGCTCACTGTCTGTTGCCTCTGAAGCACTGGGGTAAATGACCTCACAGGATGCAGGGCACTGGAGAATCAAACCCACAATCTCACACCAACATCAGTTGCTTACTCTCTAAACCGGGGAATAGTTATTTCAAGATGTGCTTTGGGCTCAGTAGGTGCAGTTTCCCATCGTGAGTCACTTCCACTGTCCCCACCTTGTTTCCATGTAGGGAAATTGTTCTCTCCATTGTTACTGGCAAATTACTGGCAAATCAAATAGCCCCACTCTTTGTAACTCCTTTCTTCTCTTCCCTTTTCACCAGGTGGAAGAGATTGGCTGGGGAGGCGTAGGTGGCTGGACTGGGCTTGGTGGATCGAAACTTGGCACAAAAAGGTAACCCACTAAAGCATTCTTCCTCTAGCTAGCTACCTGCATGTCCTTCAATATATACTATTACCAGAGTGGTATCAAACACATGCTTTGATCAGCGTCATCACAGGCCTGATTTTCAGACGTGTGGCACCACCTGCTGCAACTCCAGGTGAAATCAGCGTTCACTGAAGGTGCTCAGCACCTCTGGAGATTAGGTCTCAGGGGCCACATTCTCTGGTCCACCAAGTATGTAGAAATCACTTAAACTCCTTGGGGCAGAAACTGTCTTTGCTGTGTTTGTACAGCGCCTAGCACAGTAAGGTCCTGGGCCATGACGGGGCTCCTAGGTGCTACGTAACACACATAAATAACATGTGCAGCACAGACTGAAACCAACCAGAGATACAGACTGGAGAATGCGCCCGGGTGCGTCCTTAGCCTGAGTGAAAAGGAGCCATGATGGAGCTGATCTTTACCACGGACGTAATCTCCGCCATGAAGCTTGCACCAGCGGCGGAAGTTAAATTAGCCCCTCAAGCAGCTCTTCCTTCTGCCAGGCCCAGGCGACTGGAGATCAGGGAGCTCCAACCAGCTGTCACTTGGGGCAGTGCAGGATTGTGGCCCGCATGTCTCCATAGCGATGCTGTAGCAAGCGGAAGCCGAGATGGCCCTGCCATTCTAAGCCGCTCATTTCAGTTGCTTTTTACTTTTCGTCTTTCCGTGGCTTCTGACGCTTGGCCTCACCCTGGAAGCGAGAGCTGCTTGATGGTATCCTGAGCCCGGAGAGAACATCCCTGTTCTAAAACACAGCAGGATGCCACGAATGAGGTGTTGGGGGATGGGGGGGATATTGACGTGATCACACAAACGTGCATTCGATGGAGGAGATTGAAGCAACCGTTGCAACGATCAGATGGCAAGTCTGTTAAGCCCTTAACTAGTCTAGAGCTTTGCAAATGGATCCAGTCTCTTCCTTGCATTCAGCAAATTGAGCCCCGTCCCCCTGTGTCCTCCCAGCAAATTCCTCTTGTGCCATCTCCCTCCACGCCAGACTCAGTGCTCTCCACATCCAGGGACTCTACAGGCCCAGGGGGGTGCATTGATGCTTTTTCTGGCATTTCTGCCTCCAACAGGACTCTGCCTAAGAAATACTTGGAGGAAATCAGCGCCACCATCAGCAGTTTTAACATTCAGGGGCTGATCGTCATCGGGGGCTTTGAGGTGAGTCAGGCAGGCTGCAGTGAGTCTTTACAGGCTTAGAACCTGGGGCCTGTGGGGTAGCAGGGGGCCAGCCACCTTTCTCCACCCACGGAACACCCCAGAGGAGATCTGAATCCTGGGGGACATGAGGCCAGCTGCTTGGCCGGGTGCAAAGATGCTCACCGAGAATAGGGGGTCGTTACTGGAGGAACTGACCGTTTCAGGCCTGTCAATGCCTTGAAAATGTTGGAAATCTCCTGTGGTGACTCAGGAGCAAAGATCATCCCAGTGCAGCCTGAGTGCTGAGTCTCATCCAGAGCGGGGCTCAGCCTCTGGGGCTCCAGTCACCAGGGCATTAAGGAACTCAACTTGTGGGCTGATCCCTTCCAGGCCCATCTCTTTTTCCTTCCCCAGGCTGAGGGGATCTGTCAGGGTTCTATTCCCTACGGCTTCCTAGAATGGCTGGTTCCCCTCACTAGGTGTCTGGGTGGCATTGCTGGAGTTGGATCATAAAGCTCCTGGGTTCTCCATTTCTGAGAGGACCAAAATGTGTTTGTGTGGGACGCTGGGCGATCTTCAGCAAAGTTCTCATGGTAGATGCAGGGCACTGGTGTCAGTTCTTTGCCCCTCTGTGCAAAACAACACACTGGGCACCTGCTGGACACGCTGCCTGGCTTCAAGCTTTTAGGGTATTGGGGGGAGCATCCCACAGGGCCACTGCTACCCCACCCTGAATCAAATGGAACCAATCTTGATCCCACCCCAAAAGGCCTTAGACCCAGCAAAATACCCTTCCTGTCCTTTCTGTGTACCGTGCTTACCACCTGATCCATGACTGGAGATTCCAGGCTCTGTGATAATACAAATAATAAATAACTAACTGTCTCATTCTGAGTACGATTAATCCTATCTTCACGCTGACCGTTGTCCAGATGCAGCACCAAGGGAAATCCTGGCCCCATTGAAGTCCATGGCAAAACACCCATCTTCAGTGGGGCCAGGATGATGTTACCAAACTACTAAGTGTTAGGAAAAGCTTCCAACTCAGTCATCATCCTCCCTGCCCCTAGAGATGAACGTGGCCCCAGCCAGAAGCAAACCCAGGACTTTTCAATGCTGCTCTCCCTTTCTTCCGGGCATCCCGTAGGCTTTCACTGGGAGCTTAGAGCTCGTGGAAGGTCGTGGCAAATACGAAGAGCTCTGTATCCCGGTGTGTGTTATTCCAGCCACCGTGTCCAACAACGTCCCCGGCTCGGACTTCAGCATCGGAGCAGACACCGCCCTCAATACTATCACCACGGTAAAGCATTTGAAATCTTCTTCCTGCTATGGAAACCCCCAGTCCACTAGTAGCATGATTTGTAGATTCAAAAGCCATAAGGGACCACTGTGATCATCTCCTCTGACTTCCTGCATAACACGCCAGAGAACTTCCCGGAAGTACCTGCTGTTTGAACTAGAGGGTGATGGAGAATTCGCCACGATCCTTGGTAAATTGTTCCAGGGGCTAATTACACTTACAAATATGAGCCTATTTGTAGTCTAATTTGCACTGGATCTTGTTAGATCTTTGTCTGCTAGACTGAAGAGCCCATTAGCAAGTTTTTGTTCCCCATCTAGGTACCAGACTGTGATCAAGCCACCCCTTAACTTTCTCTTTGTTAAGCTAAATACTTGAGTTCCTTGAATCTATCACTAGAAATAAGGTATTTTTAGTAAAAGTCATGGATAGGTCATGGACCGTAAACAAAAAATTCACGGCCTGTGACCTGTCCATGCCTTTACTATATACCCCTGACTAAAACTTGGGGGGGGGGGCTAAGCGGGGTGGCGCCACTTATGTTATGTTCTTACCAATTCTCAAAAGGAATACAAATGTTTACTGTCTTTGTTATATAAAGATCAGCAACAAGTCCATAGTAAAGGTTAAAAATATATTGAAAGTTATTAGTGTCGGTAAAGGAAGTGTGTAATGAGGTAAAAATGAAAGGTAAATTGCTGAAAAAGATTGAAATATTTCTTTATGTAGAAAGGAAATTACTTCACAATTCCTTACCTGTATATTTCCCAGACATTAAGGCAATACCTTGGTTATTTTTAAAATTTTTATTAAAGCAACCTTAACTAAATATAAATATTTTTTCCTATGAAATTTTCTTTTGGAGACATCTGTCTTATTTCATTCAAGAGTTGAACAATGGTTTTAGTGCTATTCTAGTTACCAGAGCAGGGTGGAATGTTTTGAAGTTTGACCCCGACCATCTCGATTGTTCTCCCTACCAATGGAAGTGGTGGATTCTCCAACCCTGGAAGTCTTTGAGTACATCTACACAGCAGTTGGGGGTGTGTCAAGCTAGTGCAGCAAATAGCAGTTGGTCACAGCAGTTCAGTTAGCTGGCCAAATACATAGCTAGGATCTCCAGCCATACTAACGCATGTACTTCTACCCGAGCTAGGAATTACATCTCCCATCTGCGGTGTAGACATCCCCTTCAAATATGCTATAGCTCAAGCAGAAGTTATGGGCTTGATGCAGGAATTATTGGGTGAGGTTTTCTGGCCTGTTTTATGCAGGAGGTCAGAGATGAAGTCAAGGAAAGTGTGGGCCCCTTACTGAATGAGGGAGGCAACCTAGTGACAGAGGATGTGGAAAAAGCTAATGTACTCAATGATTTTTTTGCCCCTGTCTTCACGAACAAGGTCAGCTCCCAGACTGCTGCACTGGGCAGCACAGCATGGGGAGGAGGTGACCAGCCTTCTGTGGAGAAAGAAGTGGTTCAGGACTATTTAGAAAAGCTGGATGAACACAAGTCCATGGGGCCGGATGCGCTGCATCTGAGAGTGCTAAAGGAGTTGGTGGATGTGATTGTGGAGCCATTAGCCATTATCTTTGAAAACTCATGGTGATCGGGGGAGGTCCTGGAGGACAGGAAAAAGGCTAATGTAGTGCCCATCTTTAAAAAAGGGAAGGAGGAGGATCCAGGGAACTACAGGCCAGTCAGCCTCACCTCAGTCCCTGGAAAAGTCATGGAGCGGGTCCTCAAGGAATCAATTCTGAAGCACTTAGAGGAGAGGAAAGTGATCAGGAACAGTCAGCATGGATTCACCAAGGGCAAGTCATGCCTGACTAACCTAATTGCCTTCTATGACGAGATAACTGAGTCTGTGGATGAGGGGAAAGCAGTGGACATGTTATTCCTTGACTTGAGCAAAGCTTTTGATACGGTCTCCAACAGTATTCTTGCCAGCAAGTTAAAGAAGTATGGGCTGGATGAATGGACTATAAGGTGGATAGAAAGCTAGCTAGATCGTCAGGCTCAACGGGTAGTGATCAATGGCTCCATGTCTAGCTGGCAACCGGTATCAAGCGGAGTGCCCCAAGGGTCAGTCCTGCGGCCGGTTTTATTCAATATCTTCATTAATGATTTAGAGGATGGCGTGGCCTGCACCCTCAGCAAGTTTGCAGATGACATTAAACTAGGAGGAGTGATAGATACACTGGAGAGTAGGGATAGGATACAGAGGGACCTAGACAAATTAGAGGATTGGGCCAAAAGAAATCTGATGAGGTTCAACAAGGACGGAAGAATCCCATGCACTGCTACAGACTAGGGACCGAATGGCTAGGTAGCAGTTCTGCAGAAAAGGACCTAGGGGTCACAGTGGACGAGAAGCTGGATATGAGTGCTCTTGTTGCCAAGAAGGCTAACGGCATTTTGGGCTGTATAAGTAGGGGCATTGCCAGCAGATCGAGGAACGTGATCGTTCCCCTTTATTCGACATTGGTGAGGCCTCATCTGGAGTACTGTGTCCAGTTTTAGGCTCCACACTACAAGAAGGATGTGGAAAAATTGGAAAGAGTCCAGTGGAGAGCAACAAAAATGATTAGGGGGCTGGAACACGACTTATTTATTTATTTATTTATTTATGAGGAGAGGCTGAGGGAACTGGGATTGTTTAGTCTACAGAAGAGAAGAATGAGGGGGGATTTGATAGCTGCTTTCAACTACCTGAAAGGGGGTTCCAGAGATGATGGATCTAGACTGTTCTCAGTGGTAGCAGATGACAGAACAAGGAGTAATGGACTCAAGTTGCAGTGGGGGAGGTTTAGGTTGAATATTAGGAAAGACTTTTTCACTAGGAGGGTGATGAAGCAGTGGAATGGGTTACCTAGGGAGGTGGTGGAATATCCTTCCTTAAAGGTTTTTAAGGTCAGGCTAGATAAAGCCCTGGCTGGGATGATTTAGTTGGGGATTGGTCCTGCTTTGAGCAGGAGGTTGGACTAGATGATCTCCTGAGGTCCCTTCCAACCCTGATATTCTATGATCACAAAGATTCCTTCTTGCCTTAAAAATCTCAGGGAGGGGGAAATCAGGAAAAAACGTTGATGAAATTATAGAGGAGGTTGAATTTATTTGTTTATTGAAATTTCAAGTTTACAACATTTCTCAAAATTTCCAACTGAACATGAAAAAAACCTCAAAAGTTTCTCCCCCGCCCCCAACGAACTCTAGCAATGACCTGATTTGTATATTTCTCTTCTGAGGGCCGAATCCATTAGATTGATCCACTGCCCAGCTCCTGGCTACATTACAGTCACATTTCCGAGCACTGTTTGTGTTGGTCTATGAAAAGCGTTTTCAGCACCACTGCAAATATAAAATGTACATGAGTTGATCCGTAACAGCTGCATCTTTCTAAGGCCTCAGTTATGAGCCTTCTTGTATGCTCATGAGGAGCCCACTTCCCCTGCACGGGATACCATGATTGCCAGACACTGGGCAAAGAAGAGCGCGGCCTTTGGGCTGCTAATCCCCTTGCTTTGCCGGGTAGGCGGAGCCAAAGCAGTGCCCCTCCCTCCCAGTGCGCCAGCCGATGCAGCTGTGCCCACGTGGAGGGAGGCGTAAGCTATGCCAGGAAAAGGGTTGGCAGCTAACTCCCCTCCCATGGAGAGATGGTGAAGCAGTGATTGAACAGCTATGCTCAGTCTCAGTTCACGTCCTACCCTGTCCCTGGGCCGGTGCGGCCACATGCTGCCACTATAACTCAGGCTGGATTGCAAGGTGCCAATCCACCCCTCAACTCTACTGTGACACCCCCCCCCCCCCCGGCCCCCCAGCCGATGCAGCTGTGCCCACGTGGAGGGAGGCGTAAGCTATGCCAGGAAAAGGGTTGGCAGCTAACTCCCCTCCCA